TAATTTTGTCAAAGATGCTGGTTAAAATCAGATGAGGAACTGACCATCGGTATAAATCTTTCTGACCAGTTTATGATTTGCTGTAAGTTTTATTGTATTAGAGGGCTATTCTTCCCAGATGACTGTTATTTCAGAATACCAGGCTCTATTTACAAGAGTGACACTCCTGATCCCCAAGGGCCAGACTCATTGCTGTCATTTCTCTACTCGGTTGAAATTGTTTATTCGTAACCAGCTATTAAACTGCCCTCCTGGATTTGCTTGGAGACCAGCAGCAGACAGGCATCTGGTACATGGCAGTTGCATGCAGTGGTGGCACACCCTGAAGAAGAGAAGACTTGTACTTTTGATTCCCCTTTGAATAACATTTTCAGCTAGGGAGAAATAAGGCACTGGGTGAGCCAAAGGCTGAGGAGCCGGGGAGCCAGAGGAGGCTGCTGTCCCTGCACAGTCTCCCACAGCTCTGACGTGAGCAAGGAGGGTGACTGTCCAAGAGCAAGAAAACCTGCAGCTCTCTAGCACTGCGTGTCCCACATCTCAGGAACCTTCCTAATTGTGGGTTTATCCCATGGTCTGGAAGGAGGGGGAGAGGGGGTGTGTTTTCAAATTAAGATAAAACAGGAAGCAGTTTAAGAAATGTGCCTGCCTTCTAGAGACGTTCCAGTGAGCTTCACCAAAGGGGGGGAAAAAAGCCACAAGCAGACAACGGCACTAGCATCACCCTCAGCCTCCCCTAGGTATGGCCTCCAGCCATGTGCTTGGCTTCTGCTGTCTGCACCACACAGATTCACAAAATGTAGGTGAAACTGATGAATACACAAAGACACAGAGAAAGAATAGGCAGGTGGTGTAATAACATACAATGTGTTTACTTTGAAAGCTAGACTAAGGAAATTCTCTTGAGAGAGAAGGAAGAAGCATCCCCCATGATTTAAAACCAGTTCTGGGCCATCTGCAGTTTCAAAGACATCTGGAGCTGGTGTTTGGTTACCCGCAAGACTCCAAATGACAGCAGTTCAGCTGGATAGGTGAAGCAGATCCTGGAGAAGACGCAGTGCCTGAGGCCAACACAGGCAAGCCTGGTTGTCTGGGGAGGGCTGCCTGTGGTGCTGGGTGTCAGTCAGCTCCCGTGGCAAGCCCCTGCCTGCCTCCAGGAACGGCTGCTTGAAACCCATTAGGGCTTGACATATGCTAAGCATCTCAATAACATCCTGTTGCTTTGCTGTCTACAAGTCTTTTCTCCTTCTCAAATTCATTTTTGAAGCACTGTATCTCAGAAAAAAAGACTAGAAAGCCACAAGTGCTCATAAAATTTTCTGAAAGCTGAAGTCAATATAATCTTCAAGAAGCAGATACAGATGATTTCTTTGGAGGAGAAAGAAGAGTTTCCTCAAAACACAATTTTTAATACTGTATGATGCTTGTGGTGCTTGGTGCCCCTGTTATTAATGGGCTCTCTTATATTTGCTTAGCCACATTACTAATCAGCAATATTAACATTTGTTTAATAACCAGCCACTTGTTTGTCATCTTTAAATTGGGTTGACCTCATTCAGAGAAGGTCAAGCCTCTTGAAAACACCTTTTCATTAGACCACAAGTAAAAGTATCCTGCCCTAAGGAGAGTTCCGGAGGATTTTGTCTAAACAATGAAGCATACTCAGTGCAAACGTAAATTTTTCCCAGGCCTTTGAATCACATACCTCCAAAACACTCAAAAGCAAGACAAGCAAAAACCCTCACGAAACAACATTCAGTTTTCCAGGATCTGAATAATCAATTGTGTTAACAGAGGGAAGAAAAGGACAAAACAATTCAGAAGCCCTGAAAGAAATACGCTGTTATTTTCAACAGTGTCCTCTCAGGAAAACAGTATTTCTATCGTATTCCTATGCATCTTAAGGTGGAGAATATCTCTGGATTGAACATTAATAATTCTTCAAGTAACTGCTGGACTACACTCTTTAATCGACTGTGCTCAAAACTGTTGTCTTTTCCCCCTCTGCCACCCAAGAAGCCATATGACTAAAACTGTCTACTTTTACAGATTTTTCCTCTAGGTGTCTTTTTCTCCCTTTGGTCCCTAACATTTATTATTGGATCAAAGGTTGGAGAGCACTGAGCTGCAAAGACCCCATGTGATGTTCTCCTCCCACCCAGATGCAGTGCCAATGAGGAGCACTAACCATGCCCAAAATCTCAGATTGCCAGGATGGGCATGCTGCATAACTCCCTGAGTCAGGAGGGCTTCCCCTCACCCACGCTGGCACACAGAGACAACAAGGAATGAAAGACTACACCAAGAAGACTGGAAAGATCTACTGCAGGGAAAGCACCACGTGCCTCTGGAACAGATGGCATGAGCAGGTTGGGGCAACATGTCTGAAGGGAGGTTTAAGACCATATCACACAATCACAAGAGAGCCAAGATACCACCAGGCTCGCTTTTTGAGGTTTCTTCTTCTTGCCTGCTCCTAAATATGTGGACTCGCATCTACTCTGTGGCCCCAGGGGCTAGATACGGCCTCCTGGGAATGTCTTAGGTTTTCAGTCAACCACCAATGACATAAACACATGGGATGTACTTTCTGCTTCTGAGAAACCACTTCTCAGTCACAAGCATGGCAGGAAGGGTGCAAGTGGATTTCAGCAAGCAGCAAGTGTTACTCTATTTCCCTTAACACTTCCAACTCCACTCACTGCTGTAGCACCCAATATCTTTGGCAAGTGGGGTAACTCCTGTAGCTTGACGTGGCACAGTAAGAGTTGAATGCTTGCCAGCTGGCACCATAGTAACTCAGGTAACTCTTGGGAAAGAGACAGAAAACGAACAGGTGATGACAGTGCAAAACACTGAGCTGTTCTTGACCCTGCCTCAGAAAAGAAAGTTCAGTTCATTTACTCAGCTTTCATTTCACCTCTTTCTACCCTTCAAACATCCTTGGAGATATATGAACTTGCCTAGGGACTGCACATTACTAAAATCTAAAAGGCTGGGGACCCTGGGGACAGCTAGAAAATTTGCCTCCAAATGAGTTAATCTGGAAATATTTGCACCAGTTGCAAGTTCTGCTTTTTTCTCCACCAACAGTGCTTTTTGTACACACCCCCCTTTTCAGCCTCCCAGAAGGAGCTGCAGGGGAGACCAAGAAAGTGGCCTGTTTCATCATGTCCAAAAGCTGTCCCAGGCTCCATGGCAACTCTACATTTGACTTCCTTAACTCTCTTCTGTTGTATAGTTGTTAGACCATTTTGGAAAGAAACTGGAAACAATCAAAACATTTTTATGAAAGTGAAGGTAAATTCAAGGTAGTCAATAATCCTAAGAGATGGATGTCTGCAAGTTACAAAAGTTGGACGTTGGATGTTTTTAGAGTCCATAAATACTTACACAGGCATCTTAAAATCAGTGATCCAATCCAGTATAACAGGTCCTATGTCCTATTCTGTGCTCTCTGACAGTGACCACAAGGGATGACAAAGAAACTCCTCTACGAATTTGATCTTGAAAGGCAATTCTGAGGTTTTCTAGGGCTGTTTTATTGTCTTTTCTTACAAAGACTGAACTCAGATATCTGACCATCTCCTTTTCTGTAACTGCCTGTTCATCACACATTGGCTGTTCGTACAGTGGAGGTAGCGATACTTTAAAAAAGTCCTGTATTCTGCTTTAGAACAAAAGTGAACTCTGAGGGGTTTACTAATTGACATTTTTATTTTTTAATATTTATTTTTTTTTTAAACAAGGAAACTCCCCATACTCAGCTGGGTAAAGTTCCCCTTTATTTCCATAATGATTACTAAATAAGCTAGTTCTAAGTAAATGTAAATTTTCTATCCACAGCTTCTCATTGCCAAACCTGGGTCAAGTACAAATACAGAAGGATCCAACAAGCTCAGCACTAAGTTATCTAAATGCCTCCTCTTGATAGCTTCTCCAGAAAATGTTCTCAGTGATGTCACATATATTATATCAAGTATCCCAAGAAATAACATTAACCCAAATAGCAATTCTAATAAACAGAAAATTTTTTCATTTGCATGTGAAGAGGTGACTTCATGAAAATTTTCCCTTTTAACAGGAAAGGTTTTTTACATATAAAAAAAGAAGATAAGAAGATTCATTGTATGTCACATAGTGCTTCTGGCTGTGATTTTAAAGCCCCCTACAAATTAAAAAGAAAGTCACTATTGTCATAATCATGCACAACTGACATGTTACGCAGCTGTGGATTTGGACTGTGGTAGCCTCCATATAATATATTGTTACAGCACACATATAATCTGTGTGTTGTAATAACAAAAACACTTAAAATACAAACAATGTATGATGAACTTCATTAGTCCCACACACCTTTATCACTTTTTTTTTTACACCCAAGCCAGTATATAGAGTCCATTAACTAGAGTAAATGAGATCTCTGGAGTTTTAAAAATAATACAGATGTGTTGTAAATCAAAACAGAGCTCGTGCAGAAGTCATCATTATTGCTCAAATAAATAATGAGCCCAGGCTTGCAAAATATGAACTGCCATTGTTTCTGCTTCTCAGTTACTGTATGGAACTGTTGCACAAAGAAAAAACATAGAAATTAAGAGGAGGACTTTGTTAAAAATAAAAGATTGCATTAAATGACTGGGGGCGAAGGGGGGACACTCACAAAGTTCTGTATTAGAAAAGTAAAAATCTTTGCTGAACGTAAAAATCATTGTTCAGAAAAGTTTGTTGTGTGCAGGCAGCTATCAGTAGTTTAGCATCTCCAGGCAATCATGTACTTCTTACAACATATACCCACTGATTAGTGAAGAGCAATTAAAAACTAGAAACGGTGCAGTTAGCATATTTGCAGGACCCTGTCTATAGCATTTGCTGGTGCCTTTCCTAAAGCAGCTTCCCCACAGAAAGCATCACTAAATCACATCTCTTGCTGGCCAACAGCTGAGAAGAGTAAAGCAATGTGTTTCTAGACCAGCGACTGTGAGCAGCCTTTACTTGCGTACCTGTTTCATCAGGCGAACTTGGCGAGGCACTGTCCTGGGACAGCGTAGTCCAGCTGGAGTCCTCATCACTCGGGGCCAGGTTTTGAATCCTATGGAGGGCACAATCTGTTTTGGCCCCTGTTTTTGGGTGGTCTTTCTTAGTCTCAGGGCTTGATGACACTGCAGCAACTTGGCCATCCTCTGGGCTTGATGGCTTGTTCTGTTTCCGGGGCAGGCCTTCCCCATTGACAATAATGGTAGACGCCTGGCTGTTGCTTTGTGCAGACTTATCTTCCATCGTAACAAAACTCTGCTCTAGCTCTCTAGCAGATGTTTCTAGATCTGCATAGTAATTCAGGAAGCTCTTGGTCCTCCTTGGCTGCGAGGGTAGTATTTCACAGCCAGAGGAATCCTGTGGGATCGGCTCTTTGCCTTCAAACTTCTCAGAAGTTACGTTTATGCCTGCAGTGGTAGGGAGGTTTTTGTTGGGATCCTGCTGTCCCTGCTCCGCGGCTTTCCTGAGCTGGTTTTCTCCATTCTTTACCAGCTTTATATTGGCAGAGCTGTTCCCCAGAAGGGGCTGTGCTGCTGGATCAGAAAGGCCCATGGCTGTCTGAATGTTAGTCAGCGCATATTTTTTCCTGCACTTGGGAGGAGTGGTGTTCTTGGTCTCCGTGTGCCTAATTTCGGCGTTCAGAAGTTCATTGTGGGAGGAGCGCAGGTTGAGGGTGTTGGGTGGGGTGGCAGGGCTGTTGCGGTTCACAACGTCCGTCGTGCTGCCGCTTGCCATAAACACTGCCAATGCGTCCACGCCAGAGTCAACTAGAAAAGCAAAAGAGACAGTCGTGAAACAGACTCGTTCATTGCACATGCTATTTTGTTAGGGCTTCTGGTAAAGGGATGCAGCACTTTACGTAATTGGCTTACGGTAGGAAAATTACAACAACCTAAGTGGGTAAGAGAATAGACAAAAGCTGAGCTTATTAAATAAGGAAAAACAGAGGCAGAAAAAAAAGTAAATAGATCATTGGGACCATGAAGCTGAGAAAAAGCAGAAAGCTTGACCCTACACAAGGCAGTTTCAGGGCAGTTTTTCCATGTCTGGCTCTGTTTCAAGCAGGCTTGGGGACAGAAGTGCCCTTTGCAAATGCCTGAGAATCCAGAATAATCCTTATTATAATCTCATTCTAGTATTTCATATCCACCTCTGATGAGGAGGGGAAGAACTCCTCAAGTGCTAAGCACTAGGAAGAAGAAAATGTAAGAAATTTCTAAGAGACCACAGGCAGATGCTGGTCCTTTTTCACCAAGGGTAGAACTCAAATACTGTTAATTATAAGCCAGACTGGCCAGTCAGCTGTTGTCTCTTAACACCTGCATTTTCTCTGTTCTTTGTCTGTCCTTCTCTCCCCTTCCCTGCTTCTTTTTCTTTTATTTTGAGGTGGAAAGTAGAGAGTCGGAAGGTAAGCGATACAAGTAGCAGATTATTTCACAAAGGTGTATTTGATTTCTATGGGCGGGGCAGGGGAGGAATCCCTTAGCAAAATGTCCTGCTCTAATTCAATCAGTTTTAAAGAAAGAGCCGCTCCAGAGATGAAGATGGCTCATTTCCACAGCTCACCAAGCTCAAACTTGAGGATAAAGAGCACATCCTAGGGCAGAGTACACGTATTCCACTGTTAAATAAAACCATTCATTCATCTACTAGTAGACAAGTTTTTGAATTTTGCTAGCCAGGGGTGCAGCTCACACTTTGAACAAGTTTATCGAGGAAACAAATTTTGAGACTGTGAAAAATAATCAGACAATATCTTTTTTTTTAAACTGTAATTTGTTTCTGTACTGTTTCTGGCTCTCACTAATCTGCACAACTCCATGAACACCTCAATTTACATACTGTAGTAGTCACTGTTGTTTGACATCCGGCAACCAAATTAGAGGCCAATTAATAAATCACTCCCACCTGCCACAGCATGAAACACCCTTGCTGTTATTCCTCATTCTCAGGTATCGCTGACTGCTTATATTGCACACAAAAACATGTCTGGGGCTTACCCAGGAATGAAAAGCTGTAATTTGAGCTAGCCGATGACAGATCATTCCAGCTGAGTTGTGCTGCATCCTTGTATGTTTGAAATATGACAAAATTGATGGCTGTACAGATTTACAAGAGATTAAATATATGGGTTTTAAAAGAACACGTACATAAACATAGCATGAAGAGGAGCACTTCACAATGTTACCTAAACGCACACACAGTTGCTAGTGTTCCCTCCTCTTTGATGTGCTTTCAAAGCTGCACACTTCCAACCATCACTCTGGTTCATTTAAAACCAAGCAGACTTTGTTCCCTGAATCACCTACCGAGAACAACTTCTAAAACTTGTTCAAAACAGAATTTAAAGTAGACTTTACAAATGTTCATGTCTGCCATTTTCTCAAGCCCCAGTCAGTCAAGTCCAGACCAACCACAAAATCTTCAGGAGACATATCACCCCATGCACGCTATGAAAATGCTATCAGTTTAGGTAATAGTTCCAAAAGTCCTATAAACAATTTCAGATCTAGCCACAAAAGACTTACAAAGCTCATATAAAGACAACAATACACATTGCTTTCTGCATCTAACCTAAATCTAACCAAGCCTAATGCAAGCAAGGTCTCATCTGATCCTACACAGTGTTACCAAAGCACATGTTTTAAAACCACGAAATGGCCTGTGTTTATGGAGTGGCTGCTTTGTGTTTTTCAAAATCAATTAAAAGTCTGTATGTCAAGTTAAAAAACCCAAACAACAGGGCAGGATAATTCTGACCCACTACTTGACTTGTAGAATCTATCACACAGTATCTATGGGTTTCACTAGGTTGTATTTTATTTTATGCTTCAGCAAATTAAAACAAGCATTTCTGTTTTCCATCAATAAATAAAACTGCCAGAATCTGGAACAAGACTGAAATTTATTTTTCTCCTTTGTTACAAGTGAGCTGCTTCATGAAATGTTTATTGCTATTTTTACCACTAAAAATATTTACAAAAAAAAATAATCTTCCTAGATAAAGCTTAAGTATCTGCCTGCCAGATTATCTTCAGCCAGTGTCCTGCTGTTAGCATGTCACTTATCAAAAATATTGTAAGAATAAGCACATAGAAACATTGAAAAAAACGTATTCTGTTTTACTAATCTGCTTGATAAAGCTCCCCCACTGATTTATGAAGAACGCTGGCACTGACCCATGACCGAGCCAAAGCTCCAGAAGTCTTTGCAACCCAGGCAGTGTTTGTAAATTGGGTGCTAAGTGGGTTGGTGTACGATCATAAGTGTCAAAATGAAACTTTCATTAGGCACCATCTCCCCTCCTGGCCTTGTTTCAAATGACCTGTTGATCACAGAATCACAGAATGGTTTGTGTTGGAAGGGCCCTTAAAGCTCATCTGATTCCAACCCGCCTCCATGTGCAGAGACACTTTCCACTGGACCAGGATGCTCAAAGCCCCATCCAAAAAATGATCAATGAAAATGCAAACAGTATGACCAGTTGTGCACAGAGCAGAGCAGGCTGTTCTTGCAAGTGACAAGTGCCTGCCCACTGGCCATCACCCTGCACTCCTAGCCAGGCTCTGGGATGAATGCAGCCAGCTTCCCTCCATTCTTGGAAGCAGATATAAATGGAAGCAACAGAAGAGACAAAAAGAGAAAGAGAAATACAGATGTGAAAGGGCAGGTCTTGCATATCAAGGGCAGGAGTTGCTATCAGACCAGGACTAACTGAAGTGCTGGAAAACATCTGAACACAAGGAAACGCTTAAATGCACTCAAGAAAATCTAGATTGCACAGTAGAACAACACAAGGAAGAAGAGCGATAGCCTGTCCCTCCTCCTTCATAGAGGACACGGTGATGCTCAAAACACATCACTTTTCCCAGGGGAAGCATATCCCAACTTTATAATTAAAAACTTCAAGGAAATACTTCTTCCTGTGCCTGTAATTTCAAGACAGAAATCCCAATCACTGACTTCCCCTATCTTCTGTTTTGTCTCTCCCAGTGTCCCAGCCTCCCTCGCCTCAGGGGTCCCTAACACAGGCTAGTGAGGTGCCCCTCACCAGCCAACCAACACTCTGTGCCCAGGGGTCCCAGAGACCTCGTTGCAGGCAGACCCTGTCTTCCCAGCTCAGGAAGCTCCTCACGCTGCCTGGCCACCAGCAAAGACAACGCTACTGGCACAGAGCGTCCTTCTTTCAACTCCTGCTTTCTACTGAAAAGCAAACACAAATGGATAAGCAGACGTGTACCTCAGCTAAAGCAGATGAAGAGTGGTACGTTGTGAGTGAGTAAAAATAGGGTATTATAATAAAAAATATTGGACTGGTGAAAAACTAAGAATAATTAGGATGTTATGATTACTGTGAATAATATTAAAATGTTGGTGCTTGAAGACAGCACTTAAATAGGTCGAAGATCTGTCACAGCAATTCATTAATGGGTTTAGCTTGCTTACTTTTAAAAACAAATCATTGTCTCAACTGCATACTTCTAATGTTTAGAAACATGCCTACAGGTATAGATTAATATACTTTTACCACTATAATGTGTTTAACACAAAGTAGTCTCAATTTCTAAGCACCATAATAATACAAATAACACTATTACTTGAATGGCTTTTATTGAGGTTTTTCAATCTTGTCATAAACTTTACGGAGCTGGAAACAGAAGAGAGAAAATGACATTGCAAACAGAAAACAGTGCATGACTGAGCTGTCTTAACCTCTAATATGACTTTTTTGCATTGTATTGTCTATAGGAATACTTTGTTAAAAGTTGAACACAGTTTATTCAAAAAGCACTGTTAAAAAGAAAAGAAAGTGCTTGCTCTTTCATGGATAAGTGCAAAATGAAAGTGAAATATGGGCCTGGAAGAAGGAGGAAAAGAAGAGAAAAATTTCACATATTTGCATAGCAGAATCTTTTAAAGGGCATCTGACCTGGAAGTACTTCTGACATGGCTCACGGGGCGTCAGCAATGCATCAGGAAATAGATTATAATTTGAAATCTGAAAAGAGGGATCATTTAAGAATTAAAACCAAAGGAAAACACAAAATAAAACTACCACATTTCAGAAGTTCCTGAGACACGTTAAGCATTCTAAACAAACCCTGGAACAGAACAGTGAGGATCTTTTGAGCTTGCAGTGATATTTGACAGTCATTAAAGTAAGGGAGAGGCTAGTTTACAGCAATTAAAAATAATGATGACATTTTTCTTAATGTATGCTTTACTAGGACCACAAGTTCAACAATATTCTTCAGTTTTAATCAACATACTGTAGCAAAAGCTTCATGACATTAGATAATGTTGGGTTTTCCCCAATGACCCACCTCCAGCTTACTTGGAAAGCTACACCAGCATCGGTGAAAATAAAGAGAGCAGTCAGGCATGTTCACATAAAAGTTTGCAGAATGAGATCCAGAATGTGAAACCTGGAAACACAGGCTGCAGGGTTGATCCCACAGAAGGGAATCGTAAAAAGCAAGCTAGCAGCAAGCTCCTGTACAGGCCCCCTTCCTGGCCATCTTCTCTCAAGGAAACCATTTTGCCTTAGTCTCTGGTTTGGCTGTGAATACACTGGGAGATAAGGCATTTCTATGCACTTACAACTATTTCTGCCATTGTGACTAGGAAACGTAGGAAAGAAGTAACACAAAGCTTTTCATAAAGCAGATTTCCTGCAATCTGTTGAGTATAAAATATTTAATGACAAACTCATGCTATGGGGCTACAGCCTCAGGTACTGTACACTTTGGCTGTAGTCAAAGCCTAAGCAGCTGGAGAGAACACCTCCATTATACAAGGATTGCAACTCAACACTAGCTAACTCCTTCCACTTCAAAGGGTGAATTCCAGTGCAAAAACATTAACTCTTAATTAAATACACTAATACACTATGTTCTTATATCTGCATTCATTCTTTGACTAGGACCAGCTAAACGGTAACAGTTAAACAAAACGTCAGCCACAAGCATCCTAATAAAATCTGTATTTACATTAATGTAGCTGAAAGCTGAATCGATACTAGAAGCTTTCTTAGTGTCAAGTGTTACTGTGCTCCTTCTTGCCTTTGTATATACACAAATTCCAGGGGACATGAAACACTTTCATAAGGAAAAGGGAAGGAAAACACTTGAATAAGGTGGTGGTGTAGATCAGAACAACTGATGATGTTCCTACACCCAGTGGTTTTCTTCTTGCTGCTCCCTCCAGCATTAACATTTCTGCTGGACTGAGCTTGGAAGCTGGAGAGAGAAAGCTTAGCAAAGCCAGGAAAGCAAATTCCAACAGTGGGCAGAGCCATTTTGGGAATGCAAGAGCAGGAAAGGAACAGGGCTGCAAGCAGCTTGCATATGTGCTCTCAAATCCATCTGCAGACTCCTCCATACAAACCTCAGAGTTGCTGAAGATGGAAAGGACCTCTCAAGATCATGTAGTCCAAGCCCCCTGCCCAAGCAAGGAATCACTGCTGCCCTGTCCACTCCACCGTGGCTCTGTCCTCCCATCACGACAGAACCATCACTTTGACCTGCTTGCTATATGCAGCTTCTTCTATACCTACCTATTCCTGCTTTACCTAGTCCTAACTGAAATCACCATCCAGTAACCAGCTTTCTGTCCTGCCTCCCCAAAAGGCACCGTCTGCCAGCCCCTGCTGCTACAATAATGACATTTTTTTCCTCGTAGAGCTAATGATGCTACCAACTAACTGCAACAGCCTAGCAGCAGGGCTATCTTTGTTCTAGTGATGCTTTTATTAAGCGAAATCCATAATGCTGATCTGTCTTTAAATAATATTAAGGAAAAAACAACTTTAGATCCTGCAATGAGTTCTAGCACACAAGTGGAGTATGCTTTCATATTTGCCATTTTTACCCTCCCCCTTCCCACACAGCCAAATTCCTCATCCAGCAAAACATCAGAGACAAGATGTCTCTCAGAATCAGACTCTAACAGCTACAAAGGAAAAACAATAAAAATTACAGAAAGAAACAGGCTAAAACCTTTGCTCCTTTACTTACAATTTTATTAAGATAGATACATCTAAATAATCAGTGTGTACTTAACTATCTGACTGAAACTCTGTTTGCAGATGACCTGGGTCATCTCATGCTACTAGAGTATGCTTAAATCGAGTGATCACTTGGAGAAATAAAGAGCAATTCTTTCATTTATGTAAAGCACAGCCGTGACACGCAGTCACAACTAATCCTGCATTTACTAAGGGAACAAATGGGATGGCATACTAAGTCTTTTCCAAATTCAATTTTCTCCTGTTAATTAGATTTCTCCCCCTGTGTAGAATGGAACAGTCTGGCAGGCAAAACCAGTGTTGTCACAGCAAGAAGATGGAGTGTGTTTTATCTATTGGCTACTTGCAAGTACAGATAATAAGACCTTCTGTCATCAGACCTGTACATTCACAGCAACATTTGCTAAGTAAACCTCAGCCATTTTTCGAATCCTGTGGTGTAAATTAAACTCCTGAGTCTTAACTCTTTTTTATTTTTTAATTGATAAACAAATTATTCAATCTCTACAATAAAGAACACACCTCAGACTTATTTGTTATTTACAAACAACTCTGCTTTAAATGCCCATGCTAACATAGGGTACAAGCATAAACTTCATTCTCTCTTACACAGAGATACAAGATTAGAAACTAACTTGAATTTCTGACCAATAAAGCAAAAAGGGCTTGGTCTTCCATATCCTGCAACTTCAGTCTCAGATCATTTTTGGAGGCAAAAATGACTCTTACCAAGTCTGATGGTAAACAATGTGTAATCAAAGCTGATCAGAATTACCCAAACCAGAGCAGGATGAAGCCATATGAAAAAGAAAGCTAGGATAAGCTGTTTCATGGGGGGAAAAAAAAGAGGTAACCAAAATGCCCTATAAGACAGGGAGCCTACCCATAGGCTTAATGGGGTAATAGAAAGGAATCAACAACCACGGATTTGGCACATGACTTAAATTGATTTAGCCTGGTTTACACCAGGGATTTTTCAGCCCCACATAAATTTAACATAGATCTTTTGGCAGCTCCTAAATCAGGAAGCAGAACCATTCAAAGTATGATCAATTCCTTAATAGGGTTAAGGAAACCTGCAGGGTCCAGCACCAGTTTTCCAGCTGTTCATAATGGCACCAGCCCAATACCACACTCTGACCAGGAGATACAGGCAGAGAAAGCAGGGAAGAGATTAAGCATAGGTCACAGCACTATTAACAGAAAGAGCAAAAATGTTAAGTGAGCCCCCATCAGATGCAATGGATGAGTTAAGCTGCAGCACAGATGTGCTGGACAAAAAGCGAAAAAAAGAAAAGGAAAGATGATTATCATTAACCACCTCCCCCACATCTTGCCTGTGGCCCTGCTATCTGCAGCTTGCAAACACTCCACTGGCCCTGCAAAGCCTAGAAACAACACTGCATAGTCCTGTGCACAATCTGCTGCTCTAAGAGCAGCTAACAGCATGGACATAATACAGACATTTCAGCTTCTCCTTTTAAACCAACATATTTTAACAAACTTCTGATGACCTGACATCATGATTTCACCTGCTACAACTTCATCTGCCCTCTGAATTACATAGGATAAATTTATAGCTATGAACACATTAAGCTCTTACCAAAATTATCCAGAAATCTTTTTACCCTCAAATTACCCTGACTGATAGCAACAGTTTTGAGCCACCTGGGTACTTCAAGCACCCCAATATTTGGTGGAGGGACAATATAGCTTGACATGATCCAGCATGTGCACTCACAGCCCAGAAAGCCAACCGTATGCTGGGCTGCATCAAAATGAGTGCGACCAGCAGGTTGAGGGATGTGATTCTCCCCTTCTACTCTGTTCTTGTGAGACCCCACTTGCAGCACTGTGTGCAATTCTGAGGCCCCAAACACAAGAAAAAAGTGGACCTGCTTGAGTGAGTCCAGAGGAGGCCATGAAGATGCTCAGAGGGCTGGAGCACCTCTGCTATGAAGACAGGCTGAGACAGTTGGACTTGTTCAGCCTGGAGTAGAGAAGGCTCAAGGAAGACCTTAGAGCAGCTTCCAGTACCTAAAGGAGGCTACAGGAAATCTGGGGAGGGGCTTTTTACAAGGGTATGTAGTGACAGGACAAAGGTAATGGTTTTAAACTGGAAAAGGGGAGATTTATATGAGATATTGGGAAGCAACTCTGCATTGTGAGGGTGGTGAACCACTGGTACAAGTTGCCCAGTGAAGTTGTGGCTGCCTCATCATTGGATGTGTTCACGGCCAGACTGGACAGAGCTTTGAGCAACCTGGTCTAGTGGAAGGTGTCCCTGCCCATGGCAGGGGGGTTGGAACTAGATGATCTTTAAGGTCCCTTCCAACCCAACCCATTCTATGATTATCACTGCGTCAAAGCTGAGATCTTAAAATGCATTTGAAAGAGCATGATACACCAAAATTGTTTTCTTGTTACTATAACATTGTACTCAGTGTCAAATTGGGTTCTAGAGAGGAAAACCCAAAAATTAAATAAATGGGAAATAATATTTCAGTAGACTCACCATTAAATGAAAATAAATAAAAATGCGTATATCGAAGGTCTCAATATAAATAATGAAAACCTCTAATTTTGATTTGTGTTTGCAAACATTTTTAAACTACTAACAGTAAGTTGAGACCTGTCAGCAGAGTAGAGGGGCAGGATCACCTCCTTCGACCTGCTGGTCACACTTCTTTTGATGCAGCCCAGGGTACAGTTGGCTTTCTGGGCTCACACTGAAGCCGGCTCATGCCAAGCTTCTCATCAACCACCACCCCTAAGTCGTTCCCCGCAGAGCTGGTTTGAATCTCTTCTCCACCCAACCTGTAACTGTGCCTGGGGTTGCCCTGACCCAGGTGCAGCACCTTGCACTTGGCTTGGCTGAACTTCGTAAGGTTGGCATCAGCCCACCTCACAAGCGTGTCCAGG